TAGAATCTTATCCACCTGTTGGAAATAATGATCGGCCATCCTCGGATCCGCTTCCCCTTTGAAGGTAGGTGGCTTGTGGGCAAGGGCGAAGCTAGGAATATCTATGAGGAGGGACAAAATATATCTCATACAAAAAAAATTTAGTCAAAATTGATACAAAAAATTTAGTTCAAGAATAACAAGAAACAAGACAAAATTATTGTGAAATAGTAAACTCAATTTTTTATTTAGCCGAAACAAAATCCTAACAAAAAAAACACAAAATAATTGTTTAGTACATTTTAACCTAATTATATATTTCAATAAAATATATATTTTTTAAAATCTCTAAAATTTTGTATATGAATTAAATGTCACTAATTTTTTATCAATGCGCCCAATCACAATTCCGTAGTAAAATTATTTTTTATTTAGTTGTAAAATTTAGTTGAGATCATTATCGATCTTATAGAGAAATTTTCTGTTCGAAATAGCTCAAAATATTTTTGGGTTATAACCTTTTATCTTTTGTATACAATCGTATTTTATTATGTTATAGACTACTATTACTAAAAAAAATAGTAAATGAAAACTAAAAATTGATCTTAAAAAGTAATGAATATTGTGTTAGATAAAAAAAAATATAGTATTTTCATCAATATACAAATGGTTACATTTAATTGACTCAATCAAAAATTAACATATTTATTTTAGAGGGTTAGTGGACCACTAATTTATTGAAAAAAGAAAAGACTAGAACCATTATTGAAATTTTCAAAAATTTAGGGGGCAAATATAATGTATAAAATAATTTTATGGGTCCTCATCTAAGGTGATCCAAAAGTTTTTTTTTTTTTTTTTTGGGGGGGGGGGGGGGGGGGGAGGGGGGGAGGAAGTGCCCACCCTAGTCCCCATGTGGCTCCGCCCATGCGTGTAACCCTCGCCGTTGTGAGCAATTTTAATACTTGATTCGAATTTAGTCATCGTTCGTATCTTGCTAGATCGCGACAAGAAGATTCAAACTTTTTTTTCTCTCTCTTTTCCCCGTGGCTTTAGGTTGATCCTTTGGCGTCAAGAATGAATGGATGTTTGGCCCACATCGCGCCGCACGTTTAATTTTAACGGGTTCAATTTTATTTTAAATCAATCAAAATTAGTCCCTTGTTAAGTTTAGTATATTTTTATTTAACTAAATTTAAATTATTTTCTAAGTCCCACCAATAAAATCTGATCGCAATAATTTTAGTCATGCGACACTCGATCACTTTGTAACATGCAAAAAATTTCAATTGTCTTGAAATTCAATAAAAATTGACTAGATAACTAGATTTCGTGAGAAAAATTAATTGTGAGGTCTGTTTCATCATTCGAGTCATATAAAATTTCACATTTTTGACTCGTGCTTTAACGAATTACTATTTTACCCTTTTACTTAAAATTTTAATTTTTCTAGATTTCACAAAAAAAAGGAGAAGATGGATGGAAAAACGGGTTAAAGAAAAATATAGTGAGATCAAAGAAAACGAATTGTGCTTCAACAAAACAAATCTTCGATGGAAATCCAAATTGATTAAAGTAAAACTCCAGTGGAAACCCTAACTTGGGGAAAGAAAACTCCTATAGGTTGGACCTCAGGTGAGAAATTTTTTTAAGTAAAGACCCTAATTTTGTAACAAATTGAGTCATCTATTAATCTAGTAAGAGCATCTTCAATCCTTACCTTTTTTAAAAACCAAATTTAAATTTAGGTAAAAAAAACCCTTAAAAATCTTTTCTAAGAACATCTCCAATGGAGACTTAAAATTTTACTCGATTTTAAGTAAAAATCTTAATTTGGAACATACTATTACAATAGAGAAGCTCAAATATTTATTTAAATCTTTTAAAAAAATTTCATATTGTCCCAAAGCTCATTTTTTATAAATCACATTGGTGACTACTTGTAGGATCAACCTCCTAGAGCATTTTTATATTTTGAAAATATGATGCCTTCTGCCAATTGCAAGTAGATTTCCAACATAATTGCACAAAAAATTCATACAAATTTTCTAAGACTTGATATCTGCAACGGATTCACAATCAAGAAATCACCAATGTGAAGACAATTTAAGCAATGAAAAGGGCCACAAATTCAATATCTACAAAGGATTGATTTGTATGCCATCATTTTACACTTTGATATGTATGGGTAGGGTTTATGCAAAAATAAAACAAATTGGGCAGGAACTAGGTATTGAGATAAATAAGAAAAAGGAAAAATAAAGGATGAAAAGGAAACAAATATAAAGAGGGAATAATATTTACCTTTAGATAGTTGGCCGTCGTTCCTTCTAGCAAAGGCGTTGAAGTGTGGAAGTGAAGGGAAGAAGAAGGTCTTTGGCACACAAAAGAGGGCTTCGGTGGAGATAAAAAGTTATCGTTAGATTTTGATATAAAGTCTTTGTCTCCCTCAGTTTGGGTTAAAAAAAAATTCTTAATTTAGTATAAGTTTGTGTCAAAAGTTAAAACAATTTTTTTGAATTTTTTTACTCAAATTCAAATTTGAGTAAAAATTTGAATAATGGTTGGAAATGCCCTAATGCTATACCCAAACTCATACCAAACCAAAGGAAATTCAAATTTTTACTCAAATCAAGAGAGACTCAAACTCTTACTCAAATTACCAATGGTTAGTTTATTTTTAAAGATTTAATAGTCATATTTTATCCTCCTTTAAATTTAAGTTTCATCATTAGAAAAGTTTATAACAAGTTAATTTTTTTACTCAACTTCAAGTAAAAGTTTGATTTTACATTAGAGATGGTTTAATAGGTTTATAAATGGGTAATTAGAAGATAAATGGGAAAGTGGATAGTAAATAGGTAGTTGAGTGATATATTGTTTTATTAAACGAATAATTTGGTGATAAAAGAATTAAGGTATTTTCATCCGAACATGACTCATTTATTACACAGGTTAAGCGAATCCACTTATTTATTATCCAAATTTGTTAAATATCAAACTGAATTCGTAAATTTCGTGTGAATTTGTTTTCGGTAATAGGATAATGTTAAATTTTGCCAATCTTATGTGAAAAGAAAATATTGAGTGTAACGGTGATATTATGTCAGCAATATTGACCTGATATTAGCAAATAATAATAAAATAATAAGTAGACAAGATGAACTCTACTTGGATAATTATTGACTTACATGAATAAAGAGTGGACAGTTATTTATTTATATGGAGGATTGATTATTATTTTTTGTGAAGTTCATTTATTTATTTATTATGATATTATAAATTAATCATATTATTAGGTGGTATTATCGTTATAATGAATATTTTTTCTTATGTGAGATTGCGGTATGGTCATTTGGTAGAAGTGAAAAGTGAGAAAACGAAGCTCGATTATAGATATTTAAGTAATGTTATGCTAATCAAATTGTTGTCTAAATTTTATATCTTAAATTAATATAAATAATTGAATTAAAAGGGTCTATTAACTCAACTAAATATTTAATGCCTAAAATTTTTACTCTTACGTAAGATATAAAATTTGAATTATATTTTGTACGGCACAACTTTATCTTCGAAATCCTCGTTGTCGTGTGTATCTCTCGCACGTCAGATATCCGACCCCTACGCGGTTACTTCTGCAGCGGTTTTGACGGTGGAGTTTCCTCTTCCTAATAAGACCATCACCTAACGCGCTGGAAAGATGGCCCACACAGCCCGTGAATCTCACTTTGATAACTCAACTCCACCTTCCTTCGAATGGAGTAAATATCGAATATGAGGATTATATCATCTTAGTAATACCGCGTGATATAATTATGTAATAAAAAAAATTATAAATAGATAAAATTAACCTCACTTCTTTACATGAATTCATTTATAAATTTATTTATTTATTAATAGACGATTCACCACATAATAATGTTGACGCGGTATAACTATTATACCTCCTTTGAGTGCCCGTTCATTTAGTTAGCAATTCTAAACACTTACCCATACTCTTAAATAACATTAATGAATTTGAATTTAATTTTTCTTAAATTTAGATAATAAATAAATAATTTTTTTAAATTCGTTAATTAAATGAATCAACTAGAACTTAATGAGACACATCAAGTTATATGTTATTATTAATGAATTAAATAAGAATTTAACAAATCTTAACATAAATATGAATTAAACACAAATTCAACACAGCCATTAAGGGAGAGAAATATTTATTTTAATAATTACATCATGTTTGTATTGTCGTGTAATGTGACCGCCCCACGATATAAATCAATAAGTTAGTAAAGTAGACTCTCATCCTCTAAATAATTATATTTTCATGCAAAAATATTATAAATGAGTCAAATACAAATTTAATAAATCTTAACATAACTCAAATTAGACACAAATTTAACACACCCGAGAAAAATATTAATTGAAATGATTATATTATGTTCGTATTGTTACGTGATATAATAATTTAATAATAAATTAATAAGTAGATAAAATAGACTATACTCTTTCAAATAATTATTTCTTCATATACAATAATAATCACTCCATATAAAAAAATAAAATTCACTTTAATTATTTATTTATTATTATTATATAATTATATCACGTAATAACACTACTGATCGGTACGGACAGGCTGGACTAAAAAACCCAGTCGTGGAAAACACGTGTTGGAGTGAGACTGGATTACTATCCAATCCTCTCTCCCCAGTCGCCACGTTACTACCGTCTTGCCTTACCTACATATGTATCCATTTCCATGTTGCCATTTACATTCACATCGTGCAGGAAGCTTTCATTGCCTTCTTTTTCCCGACACTTTTTTTCTCCCTCTCTTCTCTCTCTAGAATTCTTCCCCAACAATTATTTCTCAGATCTTATATGTTGTTGTAACATATTTAATTTTCAGCATCTTTTTGGACATCTTATTTTCCACCCAAAGTTTTGGATGATTGCCTTCTTATTTTCCACCCAACATTGCCTTCTTTAGAACCCTAATTTATCTCTGTAATTCATCTTCCATGGGAGGAGTTGCTGTTCTTCAACCCCAAGATGTGTTGAAAGAGCGATTACCTCGTTTGAATCCAATCAATTCTCCTAATTTTGGTTCTATCAAGTCTCGATCAAACCCTAATACCAATTCTAATCCTAAGCCTAACCCTAACCCTAATTTCATTTCTAACCCTGAGCCTAACCCTAGTTTCATTTCTAACCCTAAGCCTAACCCCGTCTCTACCAGATCATCGAATGGATGTCGAAAAAGGAGTCCCTCAAGACTTTCCAACAGCAGCACCACCACCACGGCGGTGGCTGCTAATCAGAAACCTAGAAATGCTCTTGTCATGGAGCAAGTGAAGATATTGAAACGCGGCGAAGCGTTGGATCAGGCAACCAAGGCGGTTATGGTGCCGAAGAAAGAAGAGAGGGGTTTGAACACTAAAGTTTTGGATGATTTTGTGTTGTCGTCGACGGATCGGCTGGGTCCGGAGCCTGATATAGTACCGAAACAGGTCACCGTTGCTGGATTCTTTGCTGGAGCGGCCTTTTTTGAGTCACCACCGCCGAGTTCCGTACCTGTACCAACTTTTTTCAAAAAGACAAGTGTTTTGACACAGGAACATGATGCTACCAGTGATTTGCGTCGAATTCTTGGGCTTAATTTGGCTTGAATTGCAGTGCCAGCTTTTGGATTGTGCTTGAAGATTGAAGTTTGGTTGCTCCGATTCTCGAAATTTTCCCTTATTTTTTTCATGGGAATTTTCGAATTGGGAGAGCAAAATTATCGACTTTATCGTTTGACAGATCGCTTTATTTTGGGTTATTTAGGTTTAGGGGTTTATGAAGTATAAAGTATTTCTTATAAACAATTATGGTCAAGTTGAGTTTGTTTTTCTACTAGATTGGTGAGGTGTGCGTCTTTGAATAGGTCTCTGTATTTGCGTGTGGGTTCTGTCTGTATTTATCACTCTACATCTTCAAGTAGCTTTTAATATATGTATGCAAGTATGAATTTTTAATTTTGCAATAATTCTTCTTTTCCCCCCGGGGGTTCTCTTTTGTGTTGAATTTTGATGGGTTTTGTTGATAAATTGGCTGAGGAGATTGGTTGGTTTTAGATGTTTATAGAGCAAACCTACTTTTATGGGCTAAAACAATGATGCTTTGTCAAGTAAATTTTTTTGTTGATGAAGAAATCAAAGTGATCTAATTTCGTCCGTGATGGTTAAGCGTACACAAATCTCCACTTGTCCAAAACAGATTCTCAGTTTTTGTGGGTGAATTGTGTAAAATCCAGCATAGTGTGATTCCCTTTTTGTCTTGATTTGTGTGATGCAGAAAAACACATAGTTGAGGGGTCAATACAAACAAAAGGCATAGTTCAAGGATTCTATGTGTAGTAGGCCCATTTGTCTAATGTGTTATAAGAGGCTGTAGTTACGTAGGTCTCTATGGTTCTTGGGAACCTTTTCTGAAATAGTTGCAAAAATGAAGTTTGATTGTTGCTTTGATGGATGGCTTTGTTCATTTGCTTTGTTAACTTCTTCGCATGTTCTCATATGGCATTTTTTAATCTAGTTTTGTGGGTGGTTCACCTTTTTCACTAGGTTTGTGATGCCTTTTCATTGTTTGGAGTTTGACTATTAGGTTGGAAACAGATCGGCTACCAGGGTTTGGATTTCTTGTTTCCCCAAGTCTTACGTTGTGTAGCTGCTAAATTGGTAAAGTAGAACTAGTCATCTTCTTGTATATTGATTTTGTTAACTAGTATTCCTGTTCACGATGTATGTCATCGACTAATATGTTAAATAAGCATTCTTGATCGAGTCTTGTTTTCCTGTCGGGATTTTGAATTGAATCATGTCATGCATTTTAATTTATTATTTCGAATTTGTGTTGAAATATAGTCATTTCTAACCTAATCTGTTTAACAAATTGTAACTTAATCTGTATATTGATGATATCGGGTTTGAATTGAGACACACCAATGAACTTTAATACTTTGAATTAGGATCATTTTCTCTGTCGATCGAGCCCACCCATGCACTAAAAAGTCAGCGTCTTCTCTTTCAATCAGACCCACACCCTTTGCCTCCGAGATACTTTGAAATCAATTGGTCAAGATGCTAGCAAAACCAAGTTAAAAAAATTAGCAGTGGTCGGCTCATTTTCCAAGTTTCCATTGTTCTTTTTTTTTTTTTTTTTTTTTTGGGGGGGGATGGGGGGGTTTGGGGCATTTCTAATAATCATTTAACAAATCCCAAATCTTCAGCAAGAATAGAAGACTCACATCAACAATAGCCTACAAAGAGATATGTGCTTTTCAGGCTTTTACATTAACTATAGGGGGTGTTTTGATCACCATAGAAGGATTGGGTTAGATTAGATTTGAATCCAAATCCAATTCAACCCAATCTAAAGTAATTCGTACTATTTTGGATCCAATCAATATTATTCATTCTTATACTTGATTTGGATAGAAATAATGTGAACCGTGGGCTCTATTTTTTTTTTTTTGGGAGGGGGAAGGGAAAGGGAGAATTGAACTATTGACCTCAAGAAAGTAAAACTTTTATAAGACAAAGAATACTATTAAAACAGATGTCCATTGGTTCGTGGGCTTTATGCATATTTCCAAATCAATTTAAATGAAATGCAGTTACACCCTTTACAAGGAAGTGTAACCCAATCCTATACTAGGTTTTGATGGGTTAGTAGGATGGGTAAAATTAGTTTGGATGAATAATTATTTGGAAATAATAATTTTTTTTTTAGAAAAACAATAAAATTTTTATTTATTCACAATAACAGAAGATTACAAGAAACAAAGATAAGGCACAAACGCCTAATAAAAAACAAAGCAAACTCAAAAACAAGGCACAAACGCCTTTAAACAACCAAAGCCAGAAAACCATTTCAAACATCACCATCTCCCAGCCCAATATGTTCATCACAACCACCCTTTTCTTCAAAAAAATTTCAAACAAATCAACACTTCCTCAAAGACAAAAATTCAAAAGCAGCCTTAGCCCTTATCATCAAAAACCACAGTCTTCCTTTTGTGCAGAACAGGCAGTCCCCTCTGATCACTAAGCAGAGCATTTCCAACCTCAAAAGGTAATTGTAAGTCAATCGAAAAATCCACAGACCTCCTACTCAACACAACTTGAGCAGCCAAACTATCAACAACTGCATTAGTCTCTCAAAAAACACGAATTAGTCGATATTGCAAACCTCCTAGAAGACCTCTGATTTGCCTCATATATCCCACACAAGGCCAAGGGCACTCACAACCTACCAAAACAGAATTCACAAGAACTATGGATTCACATTCAATTAAAAAACCATAATAATGTATATAATAAAACACCTCATAATTTGAATTTTATACCCCATACATTTTCCTCCCCAAACTTATCACTTCTCACACCTTCCACCACTAGTATCATTATCATTGCCAGACAACAGACGGCTACACAACGGAATTTCAACTTCAACCAACAGCTGAATTTGAGCTTCATCATTATCATTGTTAGGCAACAGGCGACTACATCCATGCCTTCAATTTTTTTTTTACCTTCCTCTTCGTTTCATGTTCACTCCTCTCTCTCTCTTACCACTAGAGATGACAATGGATCGAATAAAAATAGGTATTCGTTCAAACTCGTCTCATTTGAACTGGGATAGACCATACGTATTAGAAGGTGGACGTATATGAGAATACCTGTATAAACCTATATAGAGATGAAGACGGGGATGGACTGACTTTTACCCCCGTCTCTGTCCTGCTTTATATATATATACATATTATTGCGAATACAAATCTACATATTATATTATGTGACATTATGTTACATAATTTTTTCTTTTAAAAATTATTTTTTTCATGTTGGATTATATTATGTTACATTATGTTGTGTTGCATTATATTGTGTTGGATTTACAAGAGAGACAAAATTTTAATTATATTATGTTGTAAATGATAAACTTTTAATTATGTTATGATATTCTATAATTATATTGTATTATTTAGAATGTTAAATTTATTTAAAATTTTAGATTATGTTGGCTTGGACTTGGGTGGGTAAGGTGGACGAGGGTGGGGGCGGAGGTGAAGGCGGGGGTGGAGATTACAAATTTACCAATAGACGGGGATGGGGATGAAAATTTTACCTTTTAACGAGGGTGGACAGGGGATAAACAAAATTTTTTTAAGCAGGTACGGGGATAGAGACTACACCCCCCGCCCCTACTTCGGTCCACTGTCATCCCTAATTACCACCATCAAAGCCACAACCACCGCCATCGAGTTCGTTGCAATCACAACCACCGTTATAGCCAGGTATTCCCCCCATCCCTGTTCTGCGCAAAAACCCAGCAACCTAGCAGACCCCCACCCTTCTTCCCCATGTGCGCAAACACCTTCTCCCCATCCCTTTTTTGCGCAAACAGAACACAGTGGATAATACAAAGCCAAACTCTTTATCCCATGCCAAATTCTTTATCCAAAACCCACCAAAGCCCACCAAACACCAAGTGTTAGTATTATTGTTTCATTGAGATGGCTAATCTTCTTCTTTGATTTTTTGTGAACTTATTTTGTCTAATGCTAATCTCTGTATTTTTTGGGTGAACATCAAGAAGGGCAAAGACGAAAGCCAAAGTTAACAGCATTGGCTCTAGTTAGTGTTTATTGATTCATGGTAAAAATATATGCTTGAAATTGTTGTTTTTATATGAATCCTAAATCATGAAATTTATCACTTTCAAGAATTTTTGTGAGAAACCAACAAGCTTAACTTGGATTTGTAACTTTGTATTGCTTTGAACTTGAGTAGATGTCTATAACAATGGAACAAAACCGTGATCACCTTTTTGTCTCTTAGCATTTAGGCACGGTTTGCCAAGTTATTTGGAGAAGGCTTGGATCAGTAGTTAGAACAAGAAATGCAGAGTAATCATTTCTCAGGGTAGGAGTGTTTATAAGCACTTAACATTGTGTCGTAAATGGAACTTTGGCTTTCGTCTAGGTTTGTTTTTTGGGTTTGTTGTGTAAGAAATTTTAATGATTCGTATATGAAATTTAGAACACCTAAATTATATGGTTTAGAACATATCTATATGAGTCATAATACTTGATCTCCGAATATCTTTCTTGAAAGGGCAATGTCTTCCTCTCCTTCTTCAAAGCAATAGACGACTCTCAATGGGACAAGCCAATTTAGGGTTATGAAGTGGAGAGGGAACCTAACCTGCTATTTATAATGAAATCTAATGGGCTCTCCCATTACAAGCCACAATTGGATTAAAGCCTACACTTAACCGTCTCAACCACATCAATTAAAAGATGTACATAAGTCCATCAAAATAGATTACTTAATAATATTAGGTTCATCTGATTGGACCATAAATTCAGCCCGTTTTTCACAAACTAAAATTAACTATCAATTAATGACAGTCCAATATAGAAAAAATTATAACATTCTCCCACTTGGACAACATTAATTGTAGTCAATTAGAAATAAAATAAAATTATATGTATATATTTGAAAACGACTTTCGGGCTAATCAAACAAAACTCAATGTGGTCACAATAAAAAATAATATGGTCTTGAGACAACATCTCAAATACAACCCGATCCAATAAAATTATTATTTTCGAACCATTACG